ATCTTGCAATCCAGTGGAAAGCACACCCTCTCCTGGTCTTCCCAGGCAGGACGGATCAGGACTGGCTGCCACAGACCCTGCTCGAAGTCCATGCCGAGTGCCGTTACCTTCAGTTCTCCTGGCAGTAGTCACGGGATCTTCCTCAGAACCTAAAAAGGCAAAGAAGGGGATAGTTTTGAGCAACGAATGTGTAGGCATTGTAATCTAAATAGGATAGAGGATGAGGAACACTTTGTATTAGAATGTAGTTTATACAACGAAGAGAGAGCTGAGCTTTATGAACTATTGCAATGTATGTTTCCCCATTTCATACATCTTAGTAACAAAGATAAGTTCATATTTCTAATGGCTTTAGACAAACCTTCAATTATAAAACACAATAATTTGTTAACTTATATCTACATCATTACTAAGAAGCGAGAAGAAGCCAAATTATCGTAATTATTAGACTATATGTCCATAGTACATAGCATTAGCACTAGCTTGTACATTGTATATATTCATTGCAAACTGTGATGTCTTTCCTGTGACCAATGTATTGAACCCAGTGGGTATTTGCGTACAATAAACTAGGTCTTCATTCATTCATTATAATTGTGCAGTCAAACCTGTCCAAGGCGGCCAAACAGGGGACCAAAGAAAAGTGAACACCTTGGACAGGTGGTCTCCTTGAAGAAGACCGCCTCACAACATTACTGAGACATAAATGGTTTCCAAGTCAAGAATGTCGAACAAAGACAATGTCAAATGCTGTAAGCATCTTCAGTTGTGTGGGGAGGGTGGCACATGGCAGAATTAACGTCAAACAAAATCATCATCCAGGAGTCAAGGCAAGTCAGTTGGCCTGTTTCTCCATGATTTCTCATTAGTTATCATCAGTAATCATCATCAAAAATAATGTGGTCACCTTTGACAGGTTGCTTAATGCTTGGGGGAAAAATGGGGAAAAATTTTGGGACTGAGACAAAGTGCTCACCATGGCCAGATGGCCAGCTTGAAGAGATGGCCAGCTTGGAAGGGTTTGACTGTGCTTCAATATATATAAAACCCGAAGGCTTGTGCATTGTTGAAGATGGTACGTACGGTACAATAATATGAAACAGGCAACTAATGTCCAATTCAAACTCAATCAAAGGAATTCCCAGGAATATCAAGTCAGAAATCACACAAAGTAAGAACCTCCATACCTTCTTGTAGTCCTCTTGTCTTTGTTGGACATGAAGGTGACAGCTAGAGGCACTTGTTTCTTGTCCTCTAGACTTGCACAAATGTGTGGATGCAGAACAGACTTTGGTAGAATGGCTGTCCCACCACCTTGAAGGTGGCATCCATATACATGAAAAAACAAAAATGAAAACAAAAATTACAAGTAAATTTACTGATCTGAATAAAGTTCACTGTTATTAATGGGTAACTATGACCCGTATTTGTAATCTTTGTTTTAAGACAAAAAGTTATTTGTGTTCAATTCCCTGTCCACCCCCCACCCCCATAATTTCAATGAAGTCCAAGAGTTTGAGCCTCTCTTAATCGGAAAGGCCGGGTAATTGAAAAAAAAAAAATGTGCTAGCAAATTGGCTTTGCAAAAAAGCGGCAACTACTGTACCACGTCTTTATCCTGGACAGCAGCTTGAGTTGGTGGTCGCTGGCAAAGACTAGGTGTCGGTGCCCATCGTAGTGGATGTCTGCTCTGAGTTCGAAGTCCAGATCTGTTGGATCCTTGGGGCAGAGTTCTTGCCTCGGCTTGCTTGCCATGAAGATCTGGAAGTACATCTTTTCATAAATCATACTGAATTAAATGCAAAGGGTAAAACAAATTACAAAGTCAATACATACGAAAAAAACATACAGTTTTATAAATGAAACAAACATGAGACAGAAGGTATTAAATAAATTAAATTTTGAATAAAAAGCTCACCATGTTTGCCATGATGGGAAGATCCAGGTTCGGTGCCTGTATGTCTATATTCTCACGACTTCCTCCACCATCTGGCTGGCTGACTTGAACAGGTCGTCCACCGCCCTCTGTCGTACATTTGACTGGATCTGAAGGTTGGTTGCTGCGTTCATTGCTATTGTTCCCCCGCGTGCTGACGTGATGTAATGGGTCTCTCGCAAAAAACACATGGATGGGGATCAGATATGGTGCTTGTACAATTTGGCAACCAAGAATGACTGGCCACTGCTATTTTGCTTTTTATCTACACACTTGAGAGTTGACAGTCTGCCGTTTCATCAATTGTAGAACAATTGAAGAGTGCGGCCCTTGTGAACTTCTTAATAGAGCAGAGCATCGTGTTTGAAGGACAGAGAAGCTATTTGCGGAAGTGAAGCGGTGATATCATATTTGAAGGACAGACTATTTGTTCTTCACGGACCAATGCAGCAAATTATAGCGGCAAACACAACACCAACTTTGAATTATTTTATGGCTTTATTAAGAAATATAAGAGAAATCAAAACATTTTCACAAAGAGGTTATTGTAGGATACGTAGTTTTGTAGCAGCCTATTACTAGTAATTGAAGCCAGGGTCAGCCATGCTTGTTATTATTTTATTGGGTTTGACTACAGCTAGCCGGTGTTCATCGGAGTTAAATACCTGCCGAACAGAGAAGAGTCTAGAGCTGTAACGTGGTTATGTAGTAACACTATTCTACTAATAGTAATCTCTGCTGCTTAAACAAGCATCGAAACATCCAGGAGGACCAAACATCCATGACGAGGACGAAACATCCATGACCACGAGGACGAAACATCCATGACGAGGACGAAAGAATTAGAGAACAATGCACTAGGGGACGAAAAGACCTGATCCCAAGTTTTCACACCCGCTAAAGAACATCGCTGAAAAGTAACTAAAATTGTTGTTGTCAGTCCTTCCTTGTGATAGAACGTCGTTGCCCAAACCTTTGTTAGTCAAGAAAACAACCAGGTATCAAAAATACTCAAGTACAAAATGGCCTGTAACAACACGTGTACGGGAATAGATCAGAATAGCGTTCCACGAAATGCAAATTTCTACGGAATATATACTGTTAACGTAACAAATTATAACGTGGTCTGTTGCTACAGGTTTGTTGGAAGTACAAACATGCACATTCAAGGAGATAATTTGTTGCCTTACCTCGCAGAGAACGAGTCTTCTCAGCACCACGCCGTCCTTCCCGCCTTGCCAGCCGCCATTTTCGCTTCTTCTCCAAAATTCGCCCTGCCAGGAAACACGAATTTTCTCCCCCAAACATCCAAAGAACGACATAAATCCTACCTGGAAACGTTCGGACGATATACTGTACACTTCAGACGGATAATTTGTGGACAAAAAGCCGAAATTTACCCCAAAACTTGGAGAGAATTCGCGCACAACACGCCACACGTCAACGCGTCAGCTATGCTGCAGCTGCAGCGAACGGACCGTACCATGTGTGATAATTACATAGGGGTGGTAACGAGATTAATCATTATTGCTCTTGATAATTAATCATCACCATTCCGCCACCAATCAAAAGTTATTATTCTCGCCGCATACATTTAGACTTGTTTTCTGTCTTAAGGATCTGGATACCTTCTGCCACAGCAAGTGTTTATTTCCCTAAACTTGTGAATGTCCCCCATTTGTTAAGTGGGGTGCCCCAAGTGTGGACCCCTCCTTGGTGCTGAACTCACCATCAGTTCCATGTATTAAGTATTGCAGCTGTGGCTACTGTACTAGAGGTTTTGTTTGACACAACAGAACACCCAGAAAAGCGAGGGATTGACGTGTTTTAGTACATATATACATTATATAGTACATAGAAGGCTGTAGATCAACAGGGCCTTTATTTCATAGAAATTTTATTTGCAAAATCATGCCCGAAGGCTAATTGCTTGTACAATCAATCAAGTATAATACTCATTGCAATACAGTAACAGGAGACAGGTAACAACTGTCTGGAAAAAACTTCTACTTCTACAACTACGCTAGCTATTATGGGGTTCGACTTCTTCTTTGAAGGCAGTGGATAATGAATAGTCCCACATTCTGCATAATTAGTGGGTTTTGTGATCTTAGTAGAAACGTAGTCTTATGGTGATCTTCTAAATGACGAAAGGATGGAGAAATTGTTGTAACTGTCTGAAATAATCTGTTTCTTTTGGTCTCATCGGTCTTTATAAACCCTTTTATTAACTGTTAACGTTACCTCAATGAAATGTCATTGGGGTCATATTTATTTTCAGTAATATTCAATCATGATTAAAGCAAAAAAGTAAAAACCAGTTGTAGCGAAGGTACTGTTTGTTAAACTGTCATTACTGTACAATCATTATATGGACGGAAAAAGACACAGATAACTGTCATTTCAGTGTGTTTGTTTAATCATGATCAAATCAGAAAAGTAAAAAAAAAATTCTTTGCAAAGTTACTGTTTATAACAGTTTGTTAGACTATCATTACTGTACCACACACGTGCTTGCTCGATTTCTTTTGCACACTTTGTTTTTCACACTATAATACAAGTGGTTAGGTCACTTTAGTCTTGTGTAAGTCTTGGGTACCATACTGGTATGCTAACTATGTATAAAACATAGGCTGCTGAGCAGAAATTTTGTACAAAAAGCATCATAAGCATTGTAATGTACATGTAGGAAATCATCTAACAATGTGTTTTTTGTCACACAAATATCACTAACGTCAATCATATCAATAACAAATCCTATCAAATCATATGACAGTAAGGAATTTAACTATTCATGACAGAAACAGAAAAAAAGCATAAATCATATTTGTGTACATGGGTGGGACACATGTCATCGACCAAATGGTCTAAACTATGCATTTTACATGCAACACACAAGCAGCACGCCAAAATTCACCGTTTCTTGATCAAACCAAACGGCAACTACAATATGCAATAGAATGGATCCTTCACGTTCTTTTCTTCACATGTTACTGGCCAAATGTTCTGTATCATGTAGTGTACTAGCAACACACAAAAAACACCAAATATTCTTGAAGGACACCTATAATATGCAATAGAACGGGTCTTTCATGTTCTTTTCATCTTCGTTTTCTACAAAAGTTTCCTCTTCTTCTTCTGCTTTTCCTTGACTCTTGACATCTACCCAACTTTCTCGACTCTTTGTCAACTTGGGTTGTTTTCCTTCTTCTGTCAGATCGTCAGAGCTCTGCGGACCTGGACCAGGCGAGATGATGTTACTCTTGTTCTTGTTCTTCTCCTTCTTCCATCCGATGTAGTCCTTGAACTGTTTGACCATGAAGTCCACGATCTCGTGGTCGTTGGACTGTTTGCCGATGTTGGCGTTGACGCGCTCGAAACTGTCCATCATGATGGCCACGAACGTGAAGACCAGGATGCAGTTGGACGTCACCACGTAACAGAACCAGAGGGTCGGGCCGAGGAGCCTGGGAACAGATTAGAACAGCATTGTTTTACATACTGGGTGCTGACATATCATAAACAATAAAACCATCATCAGGAAAACGCATGCAATAATAATCAGCACTAGGGACAGGGAAAAACAGTTAGCACCAAGGACAGGGAGAGGAAAACAGAGACAGGGAACATAGTCAGAGACAGTTTTAAACATTGTAAATTGTCTAGGAATGTTCACCCTTGACAGGGAAACACAATCAGGGACAGGGAAACAAAGTCAGTACCAGGGACAGGGAAACACAGTCAGCACCAGGGACAGGGAAACACAGTCAGGGACAGGGAAACACAGTCAGCACCAAGGACAGGGAAACACAGTCAGGGACAGAGAAACACAGTCAGGGACAGGGAAACACAGTCAGGGACAGGGAAACACAGTCAGCACCAGGGACAGGGAAACACAGTCAGCACCAGGGACAGGGAAACACAGTCAGTACCAGGGACAGGGAAACACAGTCAGCACCAGGGACAGGGAAACGCAGTCAGCACCAGGGATAGGGGAACACCAAATGTGTTTTCACTGATAGCATTACGTAGGAATTACATAGAAAACTCAAATTTTATCTGAAAAAAATGCGCATCCGGTGTGAGCTGTTCCTTTTCTTACCAGTGCCCGTCCCAGAAGTCGCTAAACTCGAACTCTCCCAGCTGGATGTTCCACAGCGTCTCCAGACAGCTCAGGAAGGTGCCGAAGCTTTCCGACGTGTTCCCGAGGACCAGGAAAAGCGCCTGTGCGAACGCCATGATGACCACGATATAGATGACGACGAAACCCAGGACTTTCGGCGCAGCGTGTTTGATCGTGTCTCCTATCGGGGAGAAACAACGTTCAGAAGTTATATTCCTTTGATTAAGACATTAGTTTAGAGTTAGATGTTTAAGGTTTAGATGTAACAAGTCGTTCGGTGTAATGTAGCCAGCTGCCGCCGCGCCGCGTGCCTGCGAAGCTGGTGTGTTACGCCAAAGGGCGGTTATACAGATATAGTCTTTCCTAGAGCTATCGCAGAGTGGAACTCGCTGTCGCCAAGTACAGTAGGGGTATTATCATTAGATAGCTTTAAACGACGTTTAGAGTTTGAATTTTAAGTTATATTTTCTTTATATATGTTATTTAGTTGATTCATTTATTCCTTATTATGTTTTTATGTTTATATGTATGCATGATTTTATGTATATATGTTGCCACGGCCCATATGAGGCAAAAGCAAATAAAGTTCAGGGGTCATGTGGCGTAGGGGCAGAGTGCTCGACTCGGAACCAAGAGGTCCCGCTTTCGACTCCGGACATGCCACCTATCTTGTTCCTTTGGGAAAGGCACTTAACGCGACTTTCTTCACTTCGCTCAGGTGAAGATGAGTATTGCATTGGTCCCTGTGTTGGTGGCGGCATTAAAAGTTAACAAAACTTGAGTGTGCCGTCACCATGTCTTGTGATTACATGTTGGAATATAAAAAAAATAATAAAGTTCAGAATCAGTACCTATGAGAGACATCCGGCGGTTGAATCGGAGCAGTTTGACGAACTTGGCGATGACGAGGGTGACGATGACGGCGATGACGTAACCGTACACAGCGTCCCAAAATGCCGCTTCACTGAGGATGAGATGTAACAAAAACCTTTACTTTTCTCTAAATAGTTAGGTTTATTCGCAACCACTTGTTCAACGCATAACATGACACTGGTTGACTGTGCACTGAAGCTAGGTGTTACTGGTGTTGTTACAACATAGTGTTAGATGCATGTTACAAAATCTAGCCATTTTGATGTCTCATCATGCAAGACTTACCTACCAGATACAAACACGCACGAACGCACGTGGGCACACACACACACACACACACACACACACACACACACACACACAGAGAGAAACACCCACACCCTCACACACACACACACACACACACACACACACACACACACACACACACACACACACACACACACACACACACACACACACACACACACACACACACACACACACGAACGCCACCGAAAACATGGCGAAGGTAATCCAACCCACCTGTAGTTGACGAATCTGCCGGGGTTGCTCCTGCGATATGCCGTGACCCTGTCAGTGATGACCATCCGACACGCGAACAGTCCCACCGCACACAGGGACAGCAGGGCCACCAGTACTTCCACCCAGTTCCAAAACTCACTGAGGTACTGACACTTCTTCTGACGAAGTTCCTTCACTGAAAAAAGGAATAATTGTTTTCTTGGTTTAAAGTGTGTAACAGACTAATAAGGCCACTTCATACGCATGATAAAATATTACCACCTTTCTTTATAACCATGTGAATTGGAAGCTATTTTTGTGACATAGACAAAAAAAAAACTAGAAAGGTAACATTTGCAAAGCAAATGCATAATGTTAACCTTCGCATATGGTCTGCTCTGTTAATTCTTGACAGGAGTCTAAATCCGTCCAGCTATAAAATTGCAACATGATGTAACCCAACACTAGTTACCATGGTGACAGACGTCTGGTTCAGGTCATTGACCTTATGTGTTTTGCTCAGGAAACTGAGCAAAAACTCTATGTTTTCCTTCGGTAAACGTAATAACATTTCTGACCTTCCCTGTACAGGTAGAAGACCAGCATGAAGATGTAGAGAATCTCGCACGCCAGGATGTAGAGCGTGTACTGGGACGTGTAGTTATACAGGCGGACAGTCTGTATGTCCGCGCGGGGGAACACGCCCCCGGACACCGGTAACTCCAGGGCAAGCGTCACCTGAAATCAGGCAGTACACTCTTATGCTTCAAACAAATATACAAACAAGTCTGCCTGCCAATTGTACTTTGATATGCAAATTCGTCCTTTCACTTATTATTTGTTCAATTTCTGTTTGATAGATTTAATATTATTTGATGTATATCTATGTTGGACCGCTTATTCTTCTGTTACTTAGGTTCATGCTTAAGTTACCTTATTATAATTTGCCCCTTGATTGTACATAAGTTTCTTCAGCGATTAATGTTGTATTGCTATTATTTTATTGTGTTTGGGGATTGTCCCGAGGATGCATTGAAAACCGCCCTTAAGGGCGATATGTTCTCTGGTTAAATAAACAAATAAACAAACAAACCACAGAGAACAGGTTCACGTAAGCGTTGTACATGGTGAATTCCACCAGGACGGCCCGAGTGTTGTCGTCCAGCCAAGCGTTGTCCTTCAGGTTTTGGATGATGGCGGAGCTTTCTCTGGAGTTCGTCCCGAGCTCTGCAACGTAACCGCCGCCTGAGTACAGGGCGAAGGTACCCCAGAACGGGTACCCTGGGGAAGTGAGAGGTAGTCCTTGTAAGTCTCACAATCTGTAAGATCCCTATACTAGTAATAGCCTCTACAAGAAATTGGCCAAATAAAAAGATGGACACAGAACAAGACTATATCCTGATTAGGGTGAAAGAGGCTATTTACAGGGCATATTATCAGGGCCCATCATCCCTCACTCAACCGCGACGGGGGCCGATATATGCATCGTCTACCAGATACCTTTGACCCAGTGTTGACGTCTCACTTCAATGACGCCACATGACAAGTCTCACTGGGTCAGTCTACTGAAGAAGACCAGAGTGACTGGTCGAAAGCTCTAGGTGAGAGAACTTTATTGTGTTAGAAAGTTTTAACTTTAAACAATCTACTGTACTGGTCAGATCTACCCGTACCGTTTAGCGCTGCAGATGTCTGGTAGACCCAGGGAGACGTGGTCTGGTTGACGCCGCGGTTGTTAATAGGGCGGGTGTCTTCATTGTCCCAGCTATACTCCACGTTACAGTCGTCAAGAATGCTGACAACACTGGGGGAAATGGTGCACAAGGCGTCTGTGTGTCCAAAACAAAACAACAGATAAATTAACAAACAAAACAACAGATAAAAGTTACATCTCAACAAAAGCCTTTGAACATCTAACTCTAAACATTGTTTCAAACTATATAATGATGATGCCCCTACTGTACTTGGTGGGAGCGAGTTCCACGCTAGGGTAGTTCTAGGAAAAAAATAGTTTTTAATTTTGAACACCTCGATCCTTGGTTGATAAGTCTGGTACTTGAAGGCATAGAGATACCTTGTTCTTTTCTGAGATGGTATTAGGTACTAAGTAGTTGGTACTTCCACCAGTTTATTAATCCCGAGGACTGGGTCTCAGAGCAAGCCAGAAAATTTCATCTAATGATTCTAGTCATGTAAAAAAAAATTATACTTCTATATATGACATCGATTCTCACCTGATCGTACACGTATCTGACGGAGCCTGGTCACCCCCACCAGATAATGGACGAGTCCAGCCGTGTAGGCGCTGTCGTCGACGGTGGCGCCGTTGTACCATTCTTCTGTCAGGCCGGGTAACAGCCCGTCCTCCAGCCACCCCCAGAAGTCATCCAGGTTCCCAATCTACACAGTAGCAGGGTAAGAAAGCATTTATTATGTTTACCGAGGAAAACATATTGTTTTACCCACTCAGTTTCCTATTCTCCAAACACAAAAGGTCAATGACCTGGGCCAGGCAGTCTATCACCATGGTAACTAGTGCTGGGTTACATCATGTTGCAATTTTATAGAAGGAGGGATTTAGACTCCTGTCTAACCATATACATGAATGTGTTTGAGTAAGAATTAACAGTGCAGGCTATATGAGAAGGTAAACATTATGCATATGCTTTACAATTGTTACCTTAAGTTTCTTGTTGTGTTTAAATGTTGAGATGAATTTTAAAAATCGGTAAATCTTACATCTAGAAAACCGTCGTCCTCAGTGACCGGAGCCAGGAAGGTCTCTTTGATGTCGGTGTTCTGAAGGAAGGCGGATTCGGACCTGTGTCCGTTAGCGATGGAAACTGTGACCCAGACGAACAGCAGGTAGAAAATGACCTCCACCATGACAGAGTACATCTGCCGCTGTTTAGCGCGTAGCTGCCGGGCGGCAGCCAGTTTCTGTGGGTCCGTCACGGGCGGTGTCGGTCGCTCGATGTTGGCCTCCTGAAATATAGTTCGTGTGGTATGTTTAAATTTTACAAACTTTATTTTTTCAAAAGATGATTTTTTTCCTTTCGCTGTCACCTATTGACAAGCAAAGGTGTTCTAGTTGCTAGTCTGATTTATATTTATCTACATGTATGCTAGGGTGTCCTTCTTACAATGCATTAAACACACAAATGCATACACAAACTCACACACACGCACGCACACCCGCATACACAAACACATACACGTACACACACAGTAATATCGTGTGGCCCACCTCCGCAGATGCGATGTGCAGAAACTCTTCATCCTGTCCCAGCTTCGCTGTCACGGCGTCATCGTCTCCAGTATCGACACTCTGAACAAGCAACAAGCCACCAAAGGTTGACACAAGGATACTTATTAGGCAGATATATCTACAGTGCAGCTATCTCAGCCACAGGGATCGATATAAGACATGACAATGTTCATTTTATCAATTTATAAGTTACATTGGGCTCAAAATGTACAGTGGACGCCAGCTTAGCTATGTGAATATTAGGTCATCAAATCAAACAGAACCACACTACCGAAAAACACAACATTCATGCATGGTATCTGTATCTGTATAGCCGGTATAACAGCCCTTTGGCGTAACACACCAGCTTCGCAGGCACACGGCGCGGCGGCAGCTGGTTACATTACACCGATCGACTTGTCACACCTAGACCTTGAACATGGTGAAAGTAATAAAGAGTGAAGTACCTTAACGATAATGGCGAGCACGACCGCCACCACCAAGACTTTAACCGGCTGAAGAATCACCACGTCCAGCAGGAAGGACGTGAAGAACGTCAGCAGCCAGGCCTCGGCCTTGTTCTTCCCGTAACTGTTACCGTACAGAAGGGTGAAGAAGGCGGAGACTAGACACACAACCAGCACCAGGGACCAGCCTGGGGAAAATACATGGTCATCAGGTCAGCACATTCTATGTAATGCCCTTGTCACATTTACAAATTTGGCCTCCCGAACACTAGCCGATCGCCCCCAACCATAGTTAGGAGTAGTTGGAAGAAAGTTTAGCATCATACTATCATTGTAAAAGTAATTAAGGGCAGGCACACTACCAGCACCAGGGACCATCTAGGAAAAAAACACACGCTCGTCAGGTGTAGCCTCTAACTGGCTTCGGGAAACGGCTGTTAAGCCCCAATGTCACACATTCACGAATTTAGCCTCCCGAACTTGTAATGGTGTGATTCAATCTAATGTTGAATGTCGACCGAGTGGAAAGATGATGTTACTTAGTACTTACCAACAAACAGAAACCACCAAGGCAGGAGAAACGGTTCCTTCTTCTTTTCGGTGTTTGTGATAACTGAAGATGTTGTATCTGTCGGGATGAAAGATATGCAAAAGACATGTTGATTTGCTGTAAGTCTTGATGTTGTTAAAACGTCACGCAGATATCCACATTATATTGTTTAAAACGAGGATGAGGACAATTCAAGAATATTGATAAGAAATTCAAGTCCAACGTTTCAAGACTTGAGGAACGTTGATATTGTTTATTGTTTCAAAGTCGATTAGTGATAGTACATATATAGATATACATGCCTTCACTACTCTTCCGGAGTCTTAAGTAGCATATACATACATGAAACATACACATAACATAAAAAAATTATGACACACAAATTACTTACATTAAATTTGAGTAAGTACACAATATATTCATACATACATACATACATTCTTCAATTTATATTACTACCAGTTCTGTATAATCCAAGAAGCAAGGTTACTCACCACCGTCTGCACTTTTCAGAAAGTCCCTAAATTCCACCGTCTTCGAATCCTGCATGACGTCATTTCCCGCCTCAGCGTCCATCCCACTTCCGGGTTCACTGAACTGGATCTCGAAAAACCCGTCCGACGTGTCTTCCCGATACGAGCTGAGGGACGTCTCGCGCTGGTAGACTCTGTCGCTAGATGGCAGCTGGGAGAGATCTAGAGTTGCAGGCGGTCGGATCTTGCTAGCGGAGCTAATTAGAAGACCAGGCTGTCCAGAACCCCCCATGGCCAGCCTCGTAACAGGCTGTCCAGAATCCCCCATGGACAGCCTCGCTGAGGTCCGGATTTCGCCAGCTGAGTAGGGTCTGGGCGGCATGTCAAGCTCAAGGGTGCCGAAGGAGATAGACGATGTCGCATCTTCGGTGTCTTTCCCCCTGGATGTTGTGTTCTCATACTCCTCAATTCCGGACGTTTCTGGCTTTGCTTGGGACGCCTCGTCAACAAGAGAATCATCAACATTTGCGCTTTCGGGCACTGCTTCCCCCTTCGAGTTGACTTTCCATATCCAAGCCGCTTTGCAGGAACACTTCGTCTTCTCGTGGACGGAGTTGAGGAGGTGGATGACCTCTAGAGGCGTCCTCCGTCTTCCCTGGTTGATGTACCACATGAGGAGGCAGTGCAGGACCTTGTGGTTGATGGAAAGAAAGATGGGAACGGTCTGTCACTTGCCGCCATACTTAAAGATGAAACAAGATATTTTTAACCAGGAGTTGGACAACTGATGTAATATTGTTGAAGAGATTCATGTGTAACGTAATCCTGACCTCCAAATTTTCGATGGCTATCAGTCCATCTTGTTCACGGAGTGGCCTAGTCTCGGGCCTAGTCTCGCGCTTTCGCGAGACTTGGCCACTCCGTGAACAAGATGGACTGATAGCCATCGAAAATTTGGAGGTTAGTATTCTTATGCTTCAAAAACTTGTCACTGCTGAAATAATTCTCTAGTAACTGATGTGATATTCTTTATGATTTTAGATATTTTCTCATCGTATGACATGTAAGTGTCCTTTGTAATAGATGTACGTTTTCATTGTAAAAAAAAGAAATAATAATAATAACAAAAACCACCTTGTGTTGTAGGAAGCGGTTCTGGCGATGGCATGTTTCGATGGCGTCGTCAGACAGACCGAGATGCCGCGGGAAGACCCTCCACATGATGTCAGCTGTCGGCCGGCCGGCTATGTGAAGAGCCGCGGCGTACAGGTAGTCTAGTAGGGCTGGGAAGTAATGACAGAATGGTCTGAGCAACAAGTATCTCAATCTTTCTATTAGTATTACAATGTATAAGTTTATTACAAGTCCTATGTCTAAATTAATTGCAGATAACAGGTAAGGTTAATTCTTACTCAAACACATTCATATATATGTCGTCAGACGGGAGTCTAAATCCCTCCTGCTATTAAATTGCAACATAATGTAACCCAACACCAGTTACCATGGCGATAGACAGCCTGGTTCAGTCCATTGATCTTTTGGTTTGGAGAAGAAGAAGAAGAAGAAGAAGAAGAAACAGAGCAAAAACAATATGTTTTCCTTTGATAAACATTTAAAAAAAACTACCTGGAAGATCCTCCCTGTCCCCAGCCTTCAGCAGCTCGGACAGGTACCCCTGTCTCGCCCCGTGCGTCAGAGCGGCACAGAAGTTAGAGAACGCCCCTTCGTCCTGTCGCTCGATCCTCGTCAGCAGGAAATTGTTCACCTTGTCTTCCGTCTCTTTCTGGGAGAGAGTTTGGATCGCCTCCTTCTCCAGTTTCGTCAGAGTGTTCCTGGCGACGAGATTTTTTTCAAACTTTATTCATTTAAACAAAAACATACCATATGGTGGTGGCTTACCCCTTTTCTAACTGGGAGACATTCCTATGGACATTCCATGCCTGTGGACAAAATTCCTGTACGATTCCTAGAATTCTTGCAAATTGTACCATTAGGCTCCTCCCTGAGACGTCGCCAAGAACTTTTTTAAAACGTTCTGTTTGACAAGTAGCTGGCTACAAACCTGGCCACGAGGTGATCCACCAGCCGAGTCTTCTCGGCGATCATCTCACTCTTCAAGAGAGACTTGTTCTGCTGGATGATCTGACGGAAGCGGGGTTCTTTGCCTGAAACAGAAACAATATTGTCTCCTTACTGACAATGATGACAAATTGGAAACGGAACGGACTCATGGTTTATATTTACGGATTTGACGCCTAAGAAAGTTTCATTCCTATATAAAGAACAAAAGATCAGTGGCATGGCAGGATTTGAACCCGGGACCTCATGGTTCCGAGTAAATGTGTGCTTCACTTCGCCGTTCCAGCCCAAGCATTCCACTAAAGAGCGAAATTCAATGTAACTGTCACGGCATACAGCTATTTTGTTACTAGAAACGACAAGATAGAAACAGAGAAACTATAATCATGATAAAATGATTGTATTCTAAAGATTTGACACAATCTTACTAGTCTGTGCGTCTGTGATGCTGGCTGGCTCCTCCATCAGCTGAGCTGCTTCCCGGATGTTGTCCGCATAGTTCTCTGTCTGTGTATAGCTTCGTGCCTTGGCGGAGCGCACGCGTATCTTCAGCGAGGGCAGGCTCTTGCACCTGATGACGACATCATCTGCCATGCGGACGTTGCTCTGTTGCCCAGGCGGGGTGGTGGTTTGTACTGGCGTTGGTTCCGGCGTGTGCGGGTGCAGCACCTGTTAGAGAAGATAATCCATACGTCTTTAATGCCTATCAGGGCACTCCAGGCATCACTTAATAGAGACGGTGGACGATATAAACTCCCTGGCACTTTTGATCAATTGCCTTAAATTTTCGGCTAACTCCGTCACCCTTGTTCACGGAATCGACCCGTCTACTCTTGGAACGTGACGTCAGGGACACGTGACCGTAGTGGCGGGTCAAACGTGCCAGATAACTTGTGTCGCCCCCCGTCTCTGTCAGGTCCATTCCGTGAACAAGGTTGAAGGAGTCAGCCAAAAACTTTGGGGTAATTTATTTCCGTGTTGGAGAGAGAGACTTTCTCTCCAACAATGAAATGAATTAGGGACCTCAAATTTTAGTCTTTATATCATAATGACTTGTACCAACACAGATGAAGTTTCATGCTAGATCTGTAATACCTGTTCATCAGCATGCTCGTGTAATGTCTCCATCTCCTCCTCGCCGCACACGCTGCCGATGTCCACTTCGCTGACCATAAACCGTGAGGAGTAGGTGGACATCGCTGTCTGAGCCTCATCGGTCGCGGCGTTTGGTTCACAGACAGGGTCCATTTTGCTTGTATCTACAGCGCCTGTGGGTAAAAGGAAACTGTCGTTAGTTCAAATTTTTGGCGACGCCTCTGGGGCGTAGGAATTTTGGTATTGCGTTAGAGAGTAAGTTGGTAAGCTGGTGCTAGTTTACCCTGTGAAACTCGGTGTTCCTGTCGAACCAGTTCCGAACTCCACCAGGTGTCGTGTATGGGTCTCTTATTCTGTACTAGAGACCAATGTTACTGCAGATTTATCTAGGAATTCTATCTGGTTCTCTTTAATGTACTGGTATCTTATTTTACGCCAGCCTTGGGTGGCAAATGGTGAGGTGATAAGATACTGTATTTGTAGCCAACAAAAGATCTGCCTGGAGATTATAAATGTTTCTCGCAATCGCTTGTTTAGACCTTACCGCCCGGACGTCTTTTTCCGGCCGAATGACGTAGAGGAGATTCCCTCCCATCCTGCCCCGGGCGGACCTTCAAGTTGCGGAAAATCTGCACGATGATCAGATTGATGGGGAGGACGATCAGGGCAGACTGGACACTGATCATCAGCTGGAACAAAAATGAGACAAGAATCAGAATCAGTTTTATTTAGAATTGACCAGCTGGTCACATACTCAATGAAGTATGTCAAATTTTCACAGACAGGGCCCATGGTCAAACAAGCAAACTTGATCAAACTTGATCAAACATAGTCAAACAAGGAGCATTTTCAAACAAGCAAACCCCAATCAAAACCTTCCCCATGTCTTACATGTTATTATCATATAGCCAGAAGACGTCGACCAATCAGAAGGCACCATTTCCCATTGGTTATCAGGCCGTAACCTCAGAAGTAATCTCAAAAGTAACCTCATAAACCACCTCGTTCGCCATGCTCACTCGGTGGTTTATTCGGTGGTTATCGTTCCTGACAGGGGATTATCTCACCATATACACCTCGGGGTGGGACATTAACCCTTTTACAGAATGGACTACCTCTGTCCATGTGAATGTGAATCCTGCGACGTCAAATTTTTCCTCCGTGTTCTGTGCGGCGGCGTCCGCCACTCCGAAGAAGGCGATATTGACGACCATGGTGCACAGGAGCAGAGACAGGCAGCAGGACACGCGCTGCACACGGGTGAACATGCTGCGGACTGGCCGCCCGGCCACGGAGAACCACAGGTGCCCATCTCTGGAGAAAGAAATACAATGAGAAATAAACACAGGAATGCATGCAGGCAATCTCCAAGCAGATCTGGGGCACAGGGAGTCTATATTGCCCGCGTGTACCTCTTGGTAGCCTGTGATCACTGACCGCGCCACGACTGGCAATATACTACCCTAGCCCCACAGAATCTGCTTGGAGAGTAGCCACATGGCATTTACTAGCAGAAACAAAGTGATTTGAAAATAAAGCTTTTCATCCAACACAAGAGATTGTTCTACTGAAGAAGACCGGAGTAACTGGTCGAATGCTCTAGGTGAGAAAAAATATCTTGTGTTGAAACAAAAGTTTTGACATAAAAATGTTACTAGCTACACAAATGAACTTTCATGACCTGAAATCTTTGGCCATCCTGTTGGAGAAGACGTAGAAGAAGTCCTTGAGATCCCTCTCAGACGCCACGGGAAGGTGACGCTCTGTCAGGCCGTCATCGTCGTCTTCAGCCAGCCACCTGGGAGGTCGTACAGGTGGAGAAACAACTAAGAATGACCCGTCCTGGTATGTTATCACACATCGCATGTACTCACCAAATGGACACGATAATTGCAGGTAAATATTCAAATTCCCAGTAATGACTAAGGTAGCTTGACAAACCTGTTACACACGAAGACATACTTCTGTTCCTCTTGCAGGTCATACACGGTGATCTGGTCTAGGAACCTGTACAAATACGGGAATTACATTTTAGTTTCTAAATTAATAGTGACGTACGCAACTGTTTTGTCAGTCCAAAAATGGCTTCAAGTTACTTCAGGTGTGCCTCAGAGCCCCATGCTTGGGCCATTTCTTCTCAACGGGAACTATGCGGCTCCAGATGTCTTACTGAGGGACGACTGCGTGTGCGAGATGTCGGTTAGCTTGAGGAATGAATCCCCTCTATTATATACGAGCATGTTCTGTATCTGTATCTGTACACTAGCCGGTATAACCGCCCTTCGGCGTCGCACACCAGCTTCGCAGGCACGCGGCGCGGCGGCAGCTGGCAACATGACACCGAACAACTTGTTACACCCAACCCTTGAACATCTAACTCTAAACATTGTTTAAAGCTATCTGATGATAATGCCCCTACTGTACATGTTCTCACCAGGACGGCTTGTCTCCTGAGTTATCGTGCCAGACGTGTACGGAAGACAGAGGACCCATGGACTGGGCCGTGGTGATGAGGAAAGAGTCCACGCCGGCTGTCTCAAACACACGGCGCTCAGGATCGGTCAGGAGGTGGGGCTCGCTCTGCCCGTCTTCACCGGTAACTATGATGGCAACCTGACAAATAATACAACAGTAGAGTCAGTCTTATTTTCTTTGCTCTTTTCGAAATAATTCCAAACTGTCCTTTCTCTCTACCTAGAAGAAGCATTATAAAGCAAGAAAATTACCTTTCAAACATAAAGAGATTTGACCTACGTAGGGCAGTCACGAAACTCAGGCTGTCACAAACTAAGTATAGAAACCGTTAGATTACAAGAAAATATTCTTATCGACCAAAGGGTTTGTCCATTTTGTCCAGAGCTAATTTCTCAAGGACACAATTGTGTGGCCTCCTAGGGATTCGAACTCAGAACCTTCAGATTCTGAGTGAATATCCAAAACCTGTATTCTGTATTCTTGTACTATCGGAAGGCTCACCTTGGCAGTTGTTCCGGCAAACCTCTTGAACCCCGTGTACAGCGTGACGATGTAGCGGTAGCGGTACCCCGTCACTCCGGGCAGCACTGTCACGCCAACCTGAATCGGCACAAAAACAAGGGATGGTGAAGTTCTTTCATTCACGAGTTCTACCATTTGTTCAACACGAGCTTTCGACTAGTCTCCAGGCAGATCCTAGGGTAGCAAAAGACGCCCTTGGGTGGCGTATGGATCATCTCTGGCGAATGAATACTGCCTGGCCAATTTGATACTGCCTTTTGCCACCGTAGGATATGCTTGGATATTACTTTCGACCAGTCCCCCTGGTCTTTCTTAATAGACTGACCCAATGAAACTTGCCACGTGGCTTCTCTGAAGTGTGACGTTAACACTGGGTCAAAGTTTTATGTTAAATGATATGTCGGCCCCCGTCGCAGTTGAGTGATGGGTGATGGACCTTGAAGTAAGTAGCCTTTTACATGTACCTTTGACCCAGTGTTGACGCACACTACACAGAAGCCATGTACGTGACAAGTCTCACTGGGTCCGTCTATTGAAGAAGACCAGAGGGACATGTGGGAAGCTCTAGGTGAGGACAATCTCGTGTGTTGGAAGTTGGAACAAAAGTGTAACTACCAACGCAGATGAACTTTCATGAAGATCAGTTCTACCTTTTCCAGGTCCTTCTTGTCCTTCCTGCGCGCCCAGATGACGACCAGGATGTAGAGAACCACGATGACGGCCATGGTGATGACCACGGCAGGGTTACTCGCGATGTCGCTAAACGCCAGGATGGAGGCCACGATGTCGATGGAGTTGGGCGCCACGAAGAAACTGGACCCGGAGGCGAAGGGTGTGAGGTGGTTGCACAGGCAGTGGGTTCTGGAGGGCGTGGTGAGTCGTCCCGTCTGTACCGAAACAACAAGGAAACAAACTTTATTGCGAATTCATACACGAAGTTAAGGCTAATTGTTAGAAAACAGAAAATTATAGAATGATAGTAGATATGAGCGTAAATAATACTTCTTCTCCCAACAATGACCTGATCCAGACGTCTGTCACCATGGTAACTAGTTTTGGGTTACATCATGTTGCAATTTTATAGCAGGAGGGATTTGGACCCTTGTCACCATATACCGGTATATGAATGTGATTGAGTAAGAATTAACAGAACAGACTATATGTGAAGGTAAACATGCATTTGCTTTGCAAATGTTACCTTTCTAGCTATTGTTTGGTTCAATAACCTTCGAGAGAGAATGGCTGTTACAAACCTGGCACCCGTCTCCCTTCCAAATGTTTTCATCGTCAGCGAAGTACAGGCACGTGCTGGAGAAGATAGTTATGGTGTAGTTCAGCATAAAGTCGCTAGGCTGGACGTTCTGTCCCTCAGAATCTGTGATGGTTCCTGTGCCTGATGGTACTTCATGGGCCACGCCTGGAAGGACAAGGATCGCATTGTCAACTGGAGTTCCACGATATCATACCTTTGCCAAACGATGTCGGTCTTTGCTACCGACGAATTATGAATGTTTTCCATTGTATATTCTTCCCAGATCTAGCTAGTGCAACCATGATCTTTCGAGATGGAAGGATGCCGACTACCACTAATACTACTACAACTACTACTACTATTAATACTACTACTATTTCTATTACCACTACTACTACTACTACCACTTCTACTATTACTACTACTACTACTACTACTTCTACTACCACTTCTACTATTACTATTACTACTTCTACTACTACTCCTACTACTACTACTACTGCTACGACTACTTCTACTACTACTACTACTACTACTACTATTACTACTCCTACGACGACTACTACTACATACTACTACTACTACTACTACTACTACTACTACATACTACTTCTACTACTACTAATGCTAACACTAATACTACTACTACCACTATTACGAAAGGGATACTAATACTATAATTCACTAACCAAGATACCACTCTGACTCGTTAAACCTCAGCAGATCATCAGGCTGAATGAGCCAGGTGTTATCGTCCGAACTCTCCGTCCTGTCGGGCAGTTCCACCGAATATCGCAAGGCAGCGCTGACCGGGAGGCTGATGTTCATGTCGTGCTCGTCGTAAGAAACGTTCACGCTGTTCTTGAGGTACAGATGGATGGGGAAACCCGTAACAAGCGGCTCGATGTGGATAAAGATGGAGGAATTCCCCGACATCCCACTGAACGTCGACGTTACATTGTGCACCTGTTCATATAGGAAAAGACGAAGTTAAAGAAAGCTGGGATTAAGAATAGCTAGGATTGGGCTAGGAGTAGCTTTTTACAAAACTTAAGAAGAATTAGAAAAAGAAGCATATTGCCCTTACAATTCATGTGTACATTCACGGCACGAAAAGTAGTATTTATGCATGTTTAAACTAAGCGTAAAGGCGGCGTTTCTTCCCACTTTCTCCACCTTTACGACCCCTAAACTTGAACGTAAAGATTGCTGTCATTATGGATCTGAAAAGACTGGCAGCTTACGTTAAACTGGGAAAGAAACTGGATGTGGCAGACCAGAGATGGTACGCTATTATTTTGTTGGACATGTAACATCTAGCGAAGGCTCTCTACGGCAGCAATTACCCCCTCCCCCCTTTCGTGCGGCATGACAGAATTCTCTAATATGGTAGATGGATGGTTACGCTAACTTACGCTAAGCCGCCCAGATCCAACCGGGGCGGTCGCTGCTCTCTCGGACTGGACAGAAGAGGCGCCCCGTGAGATCATGATGTCTATAGGCTGGCTCAGTCCGCTGACGTTCCGCTCGCCCAGCACGTCCAACAGTGAGAGACTGAGTACGTGACTGCTCACACCCGCAGACGACTCCGCAAACTCGTAAGGGTTGATGTTGGTGCCAGACATCTGGAGATGTCAAAGACATTTTAAAGAGTCAAATTCCATATTCTCGTTCCGGAAATCCTATGTTAACATTTTACTGATGAAGAGTGTTGGAATAACACTTAAACGTTTGGCTATTAAATTCTTCCTTCTTCCTTAAATCCTTTTTCCCGTATTCCCTAGCCTGTTGATTATACTATCTTCTTCTCTTCTTGGCTCGGCTTGGCTGTACAATGGCTAGATTAAGTATAGTGGTTTCGGTACAAATTGTACAAATACTACATGTACACAAGGAAATTTTCTGTATAAGAGCTCACAAAAATATTTACGGAAATATGAGTTCTTCAATTTCCTGCTGTGCTTTAGTTACGTTAACGCACCTCTGTGTCGACGTCCCCACAGTTACTACTGTTGCCGTATAAGTCCGCGGTGACGGTGTCCGGAAGTTTGAACCAGTTGTCACTCTCTGTTGAGGTCCGGACTACCAGGCCCCCCAGACCGGAGCACTCCTGTTTGTGCAGTGCCATGTTGTATCCATCCGCGTTGATGACAACAGGTTCTTGCCCGGTCGTCATCTTGCTGAAGACTACAGTAGTGCAGCTTCGCAGGGTGGAGAACACGCTGGTAGAGGCTGCCCCGGTCTGCCGACACAAATAACAAAATACATATATATATATATAATATAGCTGCTGTGTACAGTTTATACCCAAATTTCTGTATCACCTACTGTATTACTATTACTGCTAGCACTACTACTACTACTACTAGTACTACTACTACTACTACTACATTTACTGCAACTACTAGTAGTATTACCACTAATACTATTACTACTAATACTCAACTACTACTACTACTTCTATTACTACTGCTACTACTACACTAATTACTAGTAGACTACTACTACTACTACTACTACTACTACTACAGCCTCTAGAACCGCTACTACTAGAACTACTACCGTACTACTACTACTATTACTACTACTACCACTACTGGGGGGTTAAAATCATCTTTATTCCATACAAGATGAATGACATATTAAATACATAGCTAAAAACCTAGGACAATCCTTTGTCTCATGTTTAGGTAACAAGAGTAGGACGCAAGGTGGACAGACAAAAATACAATATACTAGTCACTGTGTGCATCGGACATACAGACGTTCTCTATTAAAAATTGCCATATTACTACTACTACTACTACTACTACTACTTCTACTACCACCACCACTACTACTACCACAACCACTACTACTAGGAAATACTTGTGACTCTACGGACCTGTGTGAGCACGCTTGACTTGCTTGTGTCGTTTCCGTCATCGCGGGCTTCCAAAGATGTCAAAGACGATGCCTGCATGATGTTCACTAACCCTAAAGGAAAACAACAGGCACCGTTTTTTTCTGTCAAAAAGAGGATGCGAGAACAAGGACGTTCATATAACACCCTTGGCCAGAATTATCATAATCATGATCGTCGACATTTAAGAAAGAAGAAGATAAAAATACCTTCGCATATGGTCTGCTTTGTTAATTCTTACTCAAACACATTCATATATATGGTCAGACAGGAGTCTAAATCCCTCCTGCTATAAAATTGCAACATGATGTACCCCAACACTAGTTACCATGGTGAGAGATGTCTGGTTCAGGTCATTGGCCTTTTTGGTTTGGAGAAGAAGGAGGAGGAAACAGAGCTAGCAAAACAATATCTTTTCCTTCGGTTAACATAAGAAATAGATGTATATGAAGATCTATATGATTACTGTCTAAAACGAGACTGGAAGTGTACCTGTTATGATGGTTTTCGCGGCGTTTTCCACCGCGTCCGTGCCGGCGCCGTCCCCGGCCCTCTCCACCAGCGTCACCGCCAGACGGGACAGCGACGCCGCGCCACCCAACTGTGGGCAGATAAGGATAGACAATGTGAACCTATCGTGAGGTACAACTTAACACACAAACATAACCGAAAGCAAACGCCAAAAAAGTTAGTCAAGCGGCTGGATATGATTTTGGAAACGGTCAGACGTTTCAGGTAGCACCTTTCGTCAGGGACACAGTAAGCAGTAACCGAAAGCAGTGCCCCTCGTCAGAAGGATATCTCCTTCCCCGGAGGTAACAACAACAACAGCAGCCTCATTGTTGGACGTCACACTTCAGAAAAGCCACGTGACAAGACTCAGTGGGTCAGTCTACTGAGGAAGACCAGAGATACAGGTCGAAAGCTCTAGGTGAGAACAATCTCTTGTGTTGGAACAAAAGTTTTGACTTTAATCATGTATTTACCAACACAGATGATCTTTCATGACAACAACAATCTCCTCGTGGTATTACCAGTGCCTAAAACAGGCCAAGTGTAGGCAAACAGTTCCCCTAACCTGTGATGTTGTTGACAGTTCGTCCTTAGTGGCGGTCACAACGCTGATGGTCGACGCCAGTTGCTCCACCGTGTCTAGCGTGCGGACTGTATCGGTTGCGTCAGAGATCCACCTCGTCAACAGCGCCTCCCGTAGCTGGAATAGACTGGCGGTTAGTAATCTGCAAGCAGATCTTTTGGTGGCTCCAAAGTTTGTTAAAGTTAAAGCCCTCCCGCAACCATATGGCGGCGTCAGTCTCCGTTTCCTAGCCCTTGGGCCACACAGTTGTGCAATTATAATTGTTGTAATGTATAGATTCCTAGCACTTTGCATTAGTATATAGCGTTCCAGTATGAAATACTCATGTTTTGCATACTGCATGTCCTCTTGTGCATTTAGCCCATCTGGGCAAGAACATGCAATAAAGATTCATATCATCATATAATCACCACAGCAGGGGCTAATCCACTGGTAGTATTAGCGTGTGTTTAACTCCCATACTCTTTCTCCAATGCTGAGTGCTGAGCAGAGAAAGCAGTATGTACCATTTTAAAAGTCTTTGGTATACCTCGGTCGGGGATCGAATTTACGGTCTACCGAATGCAAGGCGAGGACTCTACCCACATGGCCATTGCATCGGTTTTGGGCTCCAAAGACAAAATCAAATTGGCCAGGATATATCCATTGGATAGACAGTTACCATTTTGTCACTGTCTGGTCAATTTGATTCTATCTTTCCAGGCACCAAAAGATCTGCTTGGAGATTAGGCAATTAGGTCAATCGCGCTAAATTGGCGATTAGGACATGTTTGTTTAAAATTTATAGGTTCGTATGCCTGAAAAAAAGAAAATGAAGAAAGTACCCTTTCTCGATCTCGCTTGCTTCCCGATCCCGTTCCTGACTGTGCGTTGAGAGCTGTCCCTACAGAAGACGCTATGGACACCACCGCCTGCGTGTCTCCTGTACTGGCAGACTCGCTGATTCTACTCTGGTCTCCAATCAGCCGACTCACCGTGGTAGAGAAGTCAGCGTCCGAAATGGGCCTCACCTTTATACACAGGAGAAAATGTGTTTCATTGTGCATCATTGTACGGCTGCATCAATACTGGGGTTAAAGCCTGTTGCACACACACAAACACACACACACACACACACACACACACACACACACAAACACATACACATTCGCAGACGCACACACACACACACACACACACACAGACACAAACACACACACAGACGCATGCGCACACAAACACACACACACACTCACTCACAAACACACACAAGCACACACACGCATGCACACACACACACACAAAGCACACACACACAAACACACACACGCACGCACACACACACAGAAACACACACAAACACACACACAAACACACACACACACACACACAAACAAATGCTGAAATGTTAAATGTCAATGGTCTTTTGCTCCAAGTGCTGTTATGCATCCGTAAATTAACTAAATTAACTTACAATCACACTGAGGATAGCTTCTGTCTCAGCCCCAAGTGAATCCCTGGCGGTGACTCTGACGGTTACTGCATAGTTCCTGGACTCCAGACCGGCTGGTAAAGGTTGTTCCTCCAGTTCTGCCTCCTAGATATTTTCAGAGATGAATTAATGTTTGTGTGGTTTTCCAGTTGCTAAGTATAGAGAGAAGTCTGTGGAGTATGCAGGCGTAGGTTCTGCATCACTAACAGTAACATACTGCAATAGACACGTCGTAATTTCCATTTTTCTTGATAAAGATTTGGATGTACATATTACACGCCTATACGTTTGGGACCGCATGGTAGACACCGTTCCCTGTAGCCGTACAGATATGGAAATATTTTGTGTTTTGGACTGTATCTATAGCAGCGACACCTGTGTTGTGCAATGTGATCCAGTCAAAGACCCACTCTGATAAAATTGTCCGGATCGAGCCGAATTGATTCACTTTGATCCGGCTTTGATCCGGCTCAATCCGGCTTGATCAGGCTCGCAGCAGGATAGAAGCCGGATCAAAGCGAATCAATTCGGCTCGATCCGTACAATGTTATCAGAGTGAGAATGGGGCTTGCCCTGAGCAAGGTAACATGCGGTCACCAAATTGTCGGCTAAATAAAACGATCGGTTGTGTAAAAGAGTCTCTTTTAATACTAGTATTAAACTTCTCTTACCGGAGACCTGCCCAGAATGACGAAGTTGTCCTGCCCGGTGGTGCTGAAGCTGGCGACGTTCTCCCCGCCCGTCTGGTAGGAGAACTCGTACGTCAGAGGCGTGTCGGGGTCCGCAAAACCTGAGGAACAAACAACAACAATCTGGTGAGATGCTCTTCGGTACATGTTCACAGTTAAAGACACTGTTCTTTGTTGAAAGTAGAGCTTACCTTCTTCTTGAGATAGGAATCCACCGAAGGTATAGCATCTACCAGGCTTCGGGAAGCGGCTGGAAAGAGTAGAAATTGACATGCCAGGGGAGTTGGTCCGGGCTAAGTGACCAGTTTGCCGCTTACGATGAAGATAGCAATTATTGGATTTCAAAGATCCTAGCGACCCCCGACAGGCTTCGGGAGCAGCAAACTGCCCTGGCATATCATTTGTCAGTAGGCCAATTTCTACTCTTTCCTGGTAGACGCTAGACCAAAGGCTCAGTTGCTGAGAACAGAACACTCGTCTGCGTCACTTAGCTGCTTTCAAAAGTAGACAAAGTTAAAGTTTTATTTCGACAATTCACTCCACATTTTCCTACATCACTCACTTTTCTACATACCAGACTAAATACTATAATCACCTGTGCACTTGATGGAGAAGAGGTCGGTGAGCTCTGTGCCTCTCGGTGGGGATATTTCACACGTCCCCGCGGCAGGAGGAGTGTTGGTGGTGAACGTGAACTCAGCGAACCCCGTCACACCGGCTCTGCTCACCTCCACACGCGCCACGTACGTCTCCGCACCCTGGGGACAGGAAGGAAAGTGATCTCGATTCAGTTTTAGCTCACTGAAGAGCTAATCTCTCACTGGTCGTGACAGAGTAGACAAACGCTATGTACAGTTACTGTAGTTACCGGTTCATTGTACCGGGGAAATTCTCCTCTTTTCGACAAGCACAATGAACACAGCCTAACGTCCTTCTCCAGTAGTGTACATGCTGGGTGAGCAACAACAGCCGGGATTCGAACTCCCAACCTCTTGGTCCAAAGACAGGATCGCTAACCACTGGACTGTGCACTCTACTATAAAACGGCATTGGCAATATTGTAATTTTGATAAAATTGAAGATGAGTGTCACTTTGTGGTTGATAAGATAAGTTTCTCAGGCACGGGTACACAAATGTAACTTTCTGTCTAGACGTACCAGAAAGGTTCCGCTCTTGATGCCGAGAGAGCGTGTGGTGCTCCCTGTGGTAGTCCTTGCCCAGTCCAGCCGCTGAACCGTCTCGGTCGGACCGCCCGGACTCAGACTCCACGCGTACGTCAGTCTGTCCCCCGCGGCGCAATTGGTACAGCCCGCCTCCAACACCAGCCGTTCGGAGGGGTTCACGCGCACGTCACAGTTCGACTTGCAGCTGGAACAGTTTTACAATGGTTACAGCCCATGGTTAATGTTCATGGTCATGGTCAATACTCATGTTTACCTCATGGTCTTGGTCATTACTCATTTCAAGTTCACTCACGTAAAAATGAGTGTTGACTGAAGTGAAGAAAGTCATGTAAAGTGTCTTTCCCAATTGCAAGGGCATAAGATAGGTGGCATGGCAGGACTCAAACCCGGGACCTCTTGGTTCCGAGTCGAGCGCTCTGCCGTTGCGCCCTGATGTTTGAGTAATAACTTGCATAGTAGCACGAACTGGATCAATCTACTGAGGAAGACGAGAGTGGCTGGTGGAAAGCTCTAGGTGAGAGAACTTTTTGTGTTGGATCAAAAGTTTTAACTTTAAACATGTAACTACAACACAGTTACATATGATAACTTGCATAGTACCTTATTTGTACTGTGGGAACCTCAGGCTGCAGTATGGTCAGTTTCTGCGTGACGCGGTCAGACGAGAGGCGTCCTGTGAACGACACCAGGACAGAGAAGCTGTAGACTTGACCCTGCACCAGGTCGGCTGCACTGACATTCAGGACGGATGTCTCCAGATCCAGGGTACCTGCAGGAAGCCCGCAGTCACTCCCAGCTGTAGGAAGGGTTGCAAACAAGAAAACATCAGTGCCAATATGTGTGGCGTAGCGGCAGAGTGTGCGAATCGGAACTAAGAGTCCCGGGTTCGAGTCCTGGCATGCCACCGATCTTGTGCCCTTGGGAAAGGCACTTTACACGACTTTCCTCACTTAGCTCATGTGTAAATGAGTATTGTCCTGTAATGTATTTGTCCCCTGTGTTGGTGGCGGCATTAATATAAGTTGAAGAAACTTGAGTGTGTCGTCACCACGTCTGGTGATTACATGTTGGAATAAATCAGTGCCAATATGCAAGGCGCAAGGAATAATGTTCCTGAGTAAAGCAATGACACCCTGTCACCCATCCAGGACCTTCCCCCTACCTTGCCCCTGAACACCAGCCGACCAGGTTCGACTGACGTTCGGGAGCATTCTGACCAGCATTATAGCACGTCTAGTTGTACACATGTATATACGAATCGAAACGAATTTAAGTTAAACTTGGGTAATTTTGAAGCCGATCTCGCCGAACACCTGTAAGGACGAGAAGAAGACCAGAGTGACTTATCAAAAACCCTAGGTGAGAACTATTCTTTGTGTTGCAACAAAAGTTTTAACTTCAAACAAGACGAGACTTACATGGTGCCAGCTCACATCCCCAGTCGTAGGTCAGCTCCTCGCTGGTGACGTTTGCGTCGGGATCATGTGACCCTGACGCGTCCAGCGTGACGTCACTTCCGCTCGGGACCGACCGGGAACTTCCGCCCGCAAGCCGGGCCACCAGGGGCGAATCCACGACCATGAAGCAACCTAGCACGTACACGTATGTCACAAATTAGTTACAAAATATTGCGTGAAATACTACCTTGTGGAAAATTCGAACGTTGTTCTTAAGTTCGAAACGGGTTCTAAAGTTCGATTTTTGACTTAAAATACAACTTTTTGCACCAATTTGTTTGGCCAGTAAAATTATTTCTTACATCTATGTTGGCCAAAATGACCAAAGTTCAGTGTCTTATTTACCAACCTACCAGCATACTGAATTTCATTTTCTTTTAGGCTCTAATTAAAAAAGATATCGATGTTGGTGTTTGGAACGGAAGAAGAAGAAGAAACTGAGCAAAAACAATATGTTTTCCCTCGGTAAACATAAAAATTAAGCAACCTAGCGCATCGGTGTCGCCGATGAAGACGTCGCAAATTTCGGCGGAGTCTCCACAGATGGTGGCGTTAAGCTTGATGCCGAGGATACCGTAGTCCAGGACTCCAGCGGGCACGAACACATCGTACAGGTTCAGCCGGACGTCCGAGGGTAGGGGGACGGCTTCCATCTCCCCCGACGACAAGAGGTAATTTATCGTCCAGTTGTACCTCACCTGATGATTGGGAAACATAAAAGACACTTTCACTTAAAAGTCACCTAGAGCTTTTGACAAGTCACTCTGGTCTTCTTCAATAGACTGACCCTGTGAGGCTTGTCACGTGGCTTCTATCCAAGAAGGCCAGAGTGACTGGTCAAAAGCTCTAGGTGTTGGAACAAAGGTTCTAACTTTATATTGTAGCTTTAGTGTTTGGATGTAAAGTGCCTCATCATTAAACGTAGAAGTGATGTACAATGCATGTTATCTTTAGCCTCTACCAGGCTTAGAGAGATTTTGGGTACTGTCCTTTCCAGCATACCAACTCCCCTGGCATACTATCTCTCTGTTTGGCCGATATCTACTCTTTCCAGCCGCCTCCCGAAGCCTGACAGAGGCTAGTACAATGTAAGTTATCTCACTTGTTGAGCCTTTTAAACGATTGAGTCATTTTTAGAAAATGGAGGCAAACCGACCTCGACGTTCTGTGAGCAGTTATCCAGTGTGAGTTTTGAGGACAGCTGTAGCCGGTCCGCTCGGTTTATGTCCGTACACTGAAACGACGGAGCCGCGCCGATAAGCACTAAACTAGGGGAGGAACAGCCGGCATCGTAACCTACAGGGGGCGGGGGGGGGGGGAGGAAACAAGTATAATGAGTTGATGAAGTAATTCAGGCAATAAGATACGCCAAACAACAGTTACTCAAGCAACTGGTTGGTTGAAACTCTTTAAATTTGTATTATTTTGTCTCTCTTACCCTTAAATCGGGGCACATAATCGTGACGTATAATTACGCCAAATAACAGGTCAGACGTTTCATGTAGCATCCACTACCTGGCAGTGACACAGACGAAGATAGTGCATGGATGGTACCTGAAACCTCTGGCCATTTCAAAAATCATATCCGGTTGCTTGAGTAATTGTTGTTGTTTTTTGCCGTAAGTCACGATTAAGTGCCATGATTTGAGAATAAGAGAGACAAAATAATACAAATTCACAGTGTTTCAATCATTTTCGTGATTATTTTAACTCACAAAACAATATGTTTCATCCATACCATGGTATGAAGTGAAATATAATAATGGCTACTCTATACCACTCATGCCATACATTCCCAATCATACTGAAACACTCACACAAACACTCAGAACTTGTCATAAACATCACAGTCAACACAGGAAGGTAAGGAAGACAGAGGGAAATTCCACCTGTACCCGAATAGTGTGTACAACAGGAATGATCGTGTGTTACTGTTATTCTGTGTATGATACCTTTAACATGGAGAAAAAAACACCTTTGTTAGATCTATAGACACCAAACATTACTGAACATCAAACAACATCAACACAAAAGAATATTTTGTATAACATTAACGTTAACATTGAAATCCAAACAAAAGATGAAATATCATTTACAATATTTCATTAATATAAATGTATTGTGTTGAAAATATGCATCAACCAGTAAGATGGTTGAAATGAAAATTAATGTTAAAAGGATTGTGCTTACCTCTGAAGCAGTTTTGACTTTTCCGAAATTTTGGGAACAAAGAACAGTCCCAAACTTCCGGCCATGACAAACCTAAAACCTGCATTTCGGACTTGAAAGACTTGAAGGACGATTTTGCTTCCTTACAAAGATCTCTACATGGAAGAACGCGAATCCCTCCGGCCTGGCACTCAGGAAAAAGTGTGGAACAAACAAATTTGGGTAAAGCCTCGTGAGACGAAATATTAAGGATTTTTGCAAAGAATTCGCTCGATGTGTTGCTGAAGACTTCTGTAATATTGCGATGACCGAACGCGTTCGGAAATGACGTCACGTTGTAGTCCAGAAAGTCCCGGCAGATTCCAAAGTCACCCTGTTGGCAGATGCCTAGAAACAAAGGATATGCCGTTTAATCAGTTTATAAATCTAGATCCATGAAACAGACGTACAAAGAACCCCGGGTCTTCCTTCTATATTGATTTTTAAGTTAAAATCGTCTTATAATTAATTACTTCACCCTCTCTCTTTCGGCGTCTCGAGTCTTTGAAGTAGAAGGTACACATACTCGTTCCAACACTGACCCTCTGGTCTTCCTCGGTCTACTGAGGAAGACCAGAGTGACTGGTCGAAAACTCTAGGTGAGAGCAAGTCTTAAAAAAACAGCCCCAAACATGTAAGTATCAAGGAAGATGAATGTGATGATAGATGATGATAGATGTACTCAACTGCAATTAGATTCATCCGCAAGGGTCTCGCAATCAGAGACGCCGTCGCACAGGTTTAGCCTGGTCAGGCACCTTCCGTCCTCAGGGCAGCGGAGCAGCGGGCGGGCACAGGCCGAGAACTCATCCACATCGCTCCGGGCCGGCTTCTCACAGACACTTCCTCCTACCTGTTTTTCCATTGAAGAAACAATACAAAGACAAGGACAAAGTTGGACTGCACTCAAGTTACTACCCACTTAATACTTAACTTAAAATAGAAACAGATACATGTGAAGAAAAACTCCCTCCCCATACAATATCATGTAAACAGGACTAATGATTGCTAATTAACCAAAGGAATTACAGCTGTAAACCTTTTCGTATCTCTTACAAGTTACATAAGCTTGAGTAAGTAACATAATTTTGTCTCAGTAGTCAGAGGGTATCGTCAAGGAGCCTCTGAGAACAAGATGAAGTCGAGCACTTACAAAAAGACTATCTAAATCAATCAAATGGCCAATAAGATCCGTCTTACCTTCTCACACGACACACCTGTCCATGCAGATTCTCTTCTTAAACACGATCCACACAACTGTAGACACCAGCTTTGGTTACTTGAGACGTTTACTCCATCTTGAAGCCAGGTGCTCACGTCGTCGTGCAAGGAGTCACCGTTTTCCCACAAGGTTTCGTTCAAGTTCCTCACACCATCGTGTCGAAGGCCAACGTACCAGTTTGCTGTGATGTTCTGCTTTTTCAGTAGAGATAGGAGGAATTCTGCCTCGGTGACAGTGTTGATGGCCGTCAGGTTAGCCCCGTGTGCGCGGCAGAAGTCGCTGGCGTTGCGGTAGGATGACAGGTTGGTGACCGGCAGGTAACATGAGGACGTGTTGGAGACGGACTCAGGGCTGTAGAACCAGCCATCGTCGCACCCTGAAACGGCAGGTGATTGGAACCCCTGTTAGCACGACTAAACCTACCGTTTCACTGTCATCAGTAAATTATTTCATCATATACATGTATAACCATACATTTGTAACCGCATGTAACACTATGTTGTAACAATACCAATACATCATGTGAGTCACAATTGTTGTACGCTCGGGACTACATTGTTACAGTAACATCTAGCTTCAGGGCACAGTGAACCAGTCATATTAGCCCTGATCATCATATACATGTATAACCATACATTTGGAATCGCATGTAACGCTACGTTGTAGAACACCAATGTATGTCACAATTGTTTTATGCTTGGGACTACATTGTTACAGTAACATCTAGCTTCAGGGCACAGTGAACCAGTCATATTAGCCCTGATCATCATATACATGTATAACCATTTACATTTGGAATCGCATGTAACGCTACGTTGCAAAACACCAATGTATGTCACAATTGTTTTATGCTTGGGACTTCAGCGTTACAATAACATCTAGCTTCAGTGCACAGTAAACCAGTAACACATAGCTCGAGAATCCTACTCTTCCGACTGCTCTACACAATGTTCTGAAGTAGCATCTATATAGATTACTAACCTTCCTGGTAGCAGGCGTAAGCGCTCATGCTGTCCCCGGCGTCCGCCCGGGCCCTCACACGGCTGAAGTACGACCTCAGGTCCGCCAGCGACCACAGGCTGGAGTTTCCTGTCATAACGTCACCCACCAGGGCCGACCCGACCGACGCACGACAACCGACCTGTCGTATGAGCTCCAGGACGCACGAGTAACTGTGTAGTCCGGTTGTGTTATTGTCGTGCGATCCGGTTGTATCATTGTCGGCTTCACAGATGTCTGGATATAGATCAGGAAAATAGCTGATGGTTGATGCTGTTGATCCCGTAGACGATGGTGGTGATCCCGTAGACGATAAAATGGCTGATGATCTCGTAGACGATGGCATGGCTGATGTTGATGATCTCGTAGACGATGGCATGGCTGATGATGATGATCCCGTAGACGATGGCATGTCTATGGCTGATGCTGTAGATCCCGTAGACGATGGCATGGCTGATGATGATGATCCCGTAGACGATGGCATAGCTGATGCTAATGATCCCGTAGACGATGGCATGGCTGATAATCCCGTAGACGATGGCATGGCTGATGATCCCGATGGCATGGCTGATGATCCCGTAGACAATGCCATGGCTGATGCTGATGATCCCGTAGACGATGGCATGTCTATGGCTGATGCTGATGATCCTGTAGACGATGGCATGTCTATGGCTGATGCTGATGATCCTGTAGACGATGGCATGTCTATGGCTGATGCTGATGATCCCGTAGACGATGGCATGGCTGATGCTGATGATCCCGTAGATGATGGCATGGCTGATGATGATGCTCCTGTAAGCAGTGACGATATATTAATGACGTTACTGCCATTGTTCCTAAAATCCCTATCTAGTATCGATGACAACTGTCAACTAGAAAGGCCGACATTTGCTTGAGAGCAAATGCAGCAGATGGCTTCACCACATCCCCCATACCGAAAATGGATCTATCCTACGATGGCTGCCAATAGTCTACACCCCCATGCAGCAATGGAACCTTCCAATGCCGGAAATAGCCAAAAAGCCCTATTTTACATAACTTTAAAGTGGTGTATGTCAAAATCGAGAATGACATTCTTTGGACATGTGTCCAAGGTATCCCCATACCAAATTTCAGGTCATTCGGATTTAATATTAGGGCACAGGAGCCAAAAATGTACATTTTTGGTCCGAAAATAGCCAAAAAGCCTTATTTTCCCAATTATAAAGTGGTGTATGTCAAAAGCTTGAATGACTTTTTGTAGACATATGTCCAAGGTATCCCCATACCAAATTCAGGTAATTTGGTTTTAGTACCTGGGAACCAGATCTCAAAATGTATTATTTTTTGCCTAGAAAATGGACCAAAAACCCAAAATAAAACTAATTTTACAAAAAATGAAAAAACCGCGTCGAGGTATTTGCCCACTCTACCTTCATGCCAAATTTCGTGTTATTTGGCCGGAAAATG